GACTGTCCTCTATAAGGATCGTTGAGTAAATCAGTAAACACTTCACTTTATGAAAACATAGGCATGGGACAGTTTGGATGGGCACACAGGGGTATTCTTAATCTAGAGGCACAGAACTCAAATTTAACTCCAATTTAATCACCATTAACCTTTAATGGTTTCCTAAAAGTCATTTAAAAAGATGAAGTCATGAGTAGGACCTAATTTAGAGGACCCAACTGATATTTTTTGAGCCATTAACACAATGTCTTCATGAATCATTGACCCATCCATGATACTGAACTTACGTTTTTATGTCAGAATTCCTTGTCTTGGGAAAAGGGTAAGAAAGCAGAATATTCTAATTTAAAATTAGCTATTTTTCCTTGCTTTTGAAAAGCGTTTTTCCCTATTTAAGCTCAGCACAGCAATATTAGATAAGATACTTCATATCAGGCTCCTAAGTATTCCAAAAAAATTAAAAACAAGGCCCTGATTACAGTTTAAACTTCTTTGGTTTTTGAGAGCAGATAGCAAGTATTTGCAAACTAAACATTTTCAGAAAAAAAACTCAAACCAAACATACTGAAAACTATTTCAGCAGAAAACTGAGGAAGTTAAAGACGAGCCTTAAAGAGAGTTGGAGAGAACATTTCTGTCTTGGTTCTAGAAGACAGGTGTCTGCTAGGGAGAGCAGGAGCCTCCCTTGAGATGAAAGAATGTAGACCCCCTCCCTCCGAATTATTATAATTTTGAAATCAAGGGCCCCTTAGGCAGAGATCTGGGGATAGGAATAACAGTTCTTTACTAGTATAACCAGGCAAAGAACAATAACTACAGCAATAACCAGAAAACAGAACCAGGGACCCCAGGACAGCCTTCTCGGCTGAAATGGGATGGAAGGGAGGCTTTGTTTGCACAAACGCCCCTTGGGCAGTCAGTCCCGGTGCTCCTGCAGGGCTCTGTGGAACGGTCGGCTGGAACAGCAGGGATGAGCTGAGATCCTGGGCTGGCGGATGAGGTGTATCAACAGCTCTGCGGCGGTGCCTGGCACTGCCACACGTCCCGGTAGAACAGGGGGTGTGAGGCCACCAACAAAGAGGGGAGAAGGAGAAGAAGCAGCAAATGTCTCCCCTGAAGCCAAAGAAAACCAGCCAAAAACTGTCCCCACCCTCCTTTCCTGCCCCTTCCCCCCCCTGGGCCCGGCCACTCTTTGTCCTTTCTTGAGCACCTACTAAATACCCACAGTTAGGTTGTCTCTGCAGCTAATGGGTAAAAATTCCACGGGCAGGCCAGAACAATGAAACAAACAAAAAAAAACAGAAAACACCTAACCCTCAACACTATCCACCCTGAATTTTTTCCCATACCAAAATGTTACATCAAATATTAAACCTTTAAATTATACATGAACACATACTACTTTAACTATATACATATGTACAAACAGATACAAGCACAGTGTCATGGGTAGTTCACCCTAAAACCAGGTCCCCTTGGGGTATGCACCGGGTCTCTCCATCTTTTTGCATCACCCACCAAGTGCAACCCGGTCCCTGAGCAAAGACAACCCCACGGATTGGACTGTCTTTGTTGGAGGCAGAATTAACCCAAACAGTTTTTCCCAGCATACCTCTCATATGTACCACTGGAACCTTATCTCCATCTGTCGTTCTAAAGGGCTCAGATTGGGCAGGGCCTGCTCGGTTAGTGGAACCTCGGGTGTTCACCAACCATGTGGCTTTTGCTAAATTAATCTCCCAGTTCTTGAAAGTTCCCCCACCCAGTGCCTTCAAGCTGGTTTTAAGCAAGCCATTGCACCGTTCAACTTTTCCAGCAGCAGGTGCATGGTAGGGGATATGGTACACCCACTCAATGCCATGTTCCCTAGCCCAGCTGT